ATGCGACGCATGACGAAAACGATCATTTGTAAAAGATATGAATTGAACTGCCTGTGACGTGTTGTCTGGGTGCCGTTTCGTCCTACAGTCAAATACAAAACAAAAACTGATTTATTTTCTTATGCCAAGACCTGGTTGTTCATGCATTTCAAGCATGGCGTATTTACTTCTTGTACTCTGTGGTGTGTGCTGTGGAAACATCTGATTTCGCGGTTTTGAGCTATCGAAGTATTTCGTGAAAAATGAAACAAAGGGTAACACCATACGAAGCAATCAGGCCAATGTCTTGTTGATATCCGAAACTTGGAACCTCTAACAGAACGGTTATTTCCTGCACGCCTACCAGTATTACACAACTACCATTTGCAGATCATTGCAGTCTGACACTTATTCACTGTACCTCTTCCTTTTTCCAGACTGTCTAGAAAGTTATGCAAAATTTTCATCCCTTAGAAAACACAAGTCTTCGTGGTATGATCAAAAGAAAAATGTCCACATAGTAGTAACAAACGTCGTTCTGGCGTTCCTAAAAAAACACTGCATTGCTTAGTAGCAAATAATCACGGTAGCGCAATCCGACCATGCTACGTTTCACAATTATTATTATTACTTGGTAGTGATTATTAATAAAGTACAAAAAGTAAACTCATTGAATTGTTCTGAAATGCAAGTAAATTTCAATTTAGTTTCATCGATTCCGGTCGCATGCAAATGTTTGACACCTTATATCAGCCAGTCAAAATACTTGGTGATGCCAACGTGTTCAAATTACCAAAACGGAGGAGATTTGCCGATGTTCCAGCTCAATCTTTTACCTCTGGTTTTGATGGGAAGACGGTACGTTTTTTTGTTTGAAATCAAAACATTAGTTGTTTTCGATGATAAACTGACCATTTGAAGACTATTTTTACGATGATAACAGCTCATTGTCGAATCGAAGCTTTACCCATTCACGCTAACCACAATAAACGTCGTACTCTTGAATAGGCGTCAATGACTACCATAAAATTCGTAAGACTGTGGGTCAGGAGTGAGTGTTATTTGACTTGGGTATTGTGTTTTACATTCCAACAGGAAATTTTTGCGTGTTTTTATTTTCGCGCTTTTGGACTCACGGCGAAATTTAAACCACGCGAATGATTTCTACTTCTACATTTAATTTATTGCAATGGATATCCGAAAGCCTGTAACCTAATGTTATTGACATTGTTTACTGTCTTACATCGTCATATCCCAGTGTTACCGATGCTTAGACCTTGGAGGTGGCTCGACATAGACAAACTATGTAACGATAATGCTGTTTGTAAACCAACAAGCTTTGGAGATTGAATATACATCTAGGGGATTTACATTTTCATTTACTCAAACTGTGATTGACAGGAATTTTGCATACATTAGCCACCATTTTAAACTCGTGATTTTCACTGGTCACAGCACGTTTCGACCGAAAATAACATCATTTATACATCAAAAACCCAACCAAACGAGTGTAATCGCTAGCGTACATATTCATGTCCCCGTGGATATGTATTTGGAACCACAGCTTGATCTCCAAACATCGTAAATGGCATATTTCACGCAGCTCCCGCCACGATGTTAGCTGCTTGGTTTGGATTAGCATACTAATACAGTGGCCATCTTGACCCTTATTTATAGTATCGGTTCACCTTTAACAGACCTCCATGCTCTGGGCAAGTATTTATATGAGGTGGGGCTATGATAATGAGTGCTGTTTATCACTTGCAAACCTATGTTCACAAGCTACTAGCACTAATACCAACAAGCACCAAAGTGTATAGCGGGCATGGTCTGGCTATCTTCCGTAGAGAACAGACCAGAACTATATAGATATTCTGGCTATAAAAACACTTCTAAACAAAAGGGATTATTATTCGCAAATTTAAAAAGTCGCTTTAGTATTGTTAACTGCCATGCTTCGAGTCTGTATATGTGGTGTTCCGAATATGTTCTGATTCCCATTTACATATAACTTCTAATCTAAGTGTGTATAAACAATGTATCGATGGCAGCTTCTTGTGCTTTGGTAACACTAATGATTATTTTGTAAATATTGGGTCAGTGCTCTTTGAAAGCAAGTCTGTCTATGGAAGGTAGTAGGGCAGAAAAAAGTTCTTCAGGCTAGCTCGGAAGCTGTTAGAGTTTTACAGAGATAAATTGTCACCAAAATCACACAACATGACCAAATCACAGATCCTTGTAAAAATAAAGATATTCCATCCTAATAACAAGTTTCCATAATCCTACCAGGTCCTAGCACAATATTTCACACACACAACTTATTTAAAAGTCAGTTTGTCATGAATAGGCCTGAAACAAAAAGGCGAAACTATTGCCTAAAAATCATTTTTTTTCAACATTGCATCGTCCGGTACAAAACCCCACTTAGACCTTTCAAATACTTCAAGAGACAACAGTTTTGATGAGTAAATAAGCGGAAGTAATGATTGGTTGTAAGGGAATGTAGATGATGGTGATAAGACTTGAATCAAAAGGGCTTGTAAATAAACTACATGCATTTTTGTAAAAGCTAATGCAGGTGATTAACAACACTCATTAGCATAGTACCAGTATCAAAAAATGTTGTGTGTTGCTAGCTGACTTGGCAGTCAATAACTTGTTTGTTTGATCTTGGGATTATAATTCAAATGGGATGGAGCATCCAAGCTGTGGATAAATGAGGTGGGCCCTGGAACTAGCATACAGCAATTATAGATATATCGAGTGGTGGAGCAGATTCACACCCATCCCATATTTCGGCATTGCGAGCAGTTATAACATTAGGCCACACAGACTTAATTTTATGGATGACATCCGTGCGCGCATTGGTTTTCGCCTGTTCTCAAAAAAAAAAAAATCTACGACGACGAGTCTCCACAGAACGTTTTTTTGTCCGGAACTTATCGACTCATATTGACGCAAAGCGCCGGCTTGTTGTAAAATTGCGTGTCAATTTAGTCGTAAATGATATTTTGTACATGCGTATTGCGTTGCCGGGAATTCCAACATGGCGATCACCCCACCAAAATACGTGAGCATAAAAGTTCAGAGGAAAAATGGTGGGATTGTTGTAGACTGGTACACAATTGATGTCAGCCAGGGAAATAAAACGTTTACACTGCTATACTTCATCATGACTACATGTACTAGAGCTTGTCTGAAATGGTTATACCTGTGACAGTAATACAGTACGAGATGTGTACATTAACATGTGCCTCCTACAAATAAAGTTTTCTTGTTGTTTTTTTGATACACTGTGTTCTGTGGTTTAATTCGTAATACCAGCTCCGTAGTCCTGTGGTTTTAGCAGCATTTTTTTTTTGCAGGTTTTTTTTTTTTCGCCCTCTAGCATTTGTTTTGGTGTCTTCAGAGGATGTCATCCATTACATTAAATCAGTGTGGCCTTAGTACAGATGGCAAATAATTGTTTTAATTAATTCCCAAAGATTTTCTTATGCATTATCTCTTTAACTCAAAATAAGGGTTGCAGCTAGTGTTCTTCGTAAGTTCTTAGCATAAAATAATATTTTGGCAAATTTCAGTTGCCAGCAGGCTTTACCCCTACTGTGTGTTATTCATGTTTGGGGCCTATCGGTAATTCTAAACATGGTATATATATAATATAATTTCTATATTTCTATATGTGATTTGCATATGTTAGTTGTTTCTATATTACTATCACAGGAGAGACTGAGACAAAGTAAAGAAGAAATATGTGAACATTTGAGATATCCAGATGAACAGGTATTCTTCTTTCTACATTGTTTGTACCCATAATACAGTCTGTATTTGAATTTACAATTCAGACAATGTTCAAAACGGTGACTTTTAATCTCATTTTTTCTACACAGATCTTATAAAAAATGGCTGATTGGTAACCATTTTGTTTTAATGAATGCTTTTACCAATCAAATTCAAATTTGAAGCATACTTCACATATTATTTATATTTACATGTATCATTTCAGTCCTGAAAACTCATCAATTATTTCTGCCATTCTGGAAGTGGGTTTCAAGCATGTATGAATTTGTTTTGTTCCATCTTGTCTGTTGAACATAACAGGTCTTTGAGGCACTCTATTTTTTTTGGCAGATTAGAGTGAAAATAGCCAACATTCATTCACAAGCGTTAACAAAATTTAACCACATTTGTCGTATTTGCATTGAAAAATTCGAACACCTCATTACATGAAGAACGTGGAACACTTTCTAAAGTATTTGAAATCAAAATTATTGTTAAATGTGAGAAACTGATCAGCATCAATCAGCCTTACAGTTTTAAGCGACAGGGTCGTCACCTGCGCACGTGCGGGAATTGAGTCTCAAGCGACAATAACAACACACGCTTAAAACGCAAAGTCTCATGCTCAGACACTTATTTGTAAACAATGACATTAGATTTTTTGTGTTTTGACGTGTTCATATGCAAGGTGTCTTCCATGCAGAAAAAAGGGAAAATTGTTAGCAGTTGGTTCAATGTTGCCCCAAAGGATCACTTGGCTGTGAGAGTTTGTTATTATTTGCCTAATTTGTAGGAATCTGAAAAAAACACATGTTTTTCAACAGTTCTCTTTCTTATAAATTAAAACAATATTAATTTTTTTTACTGTACTTGTATGCAAGTTGACTGATATATCACATGCAAGAACTATAACACCACACACTTTAGTATCGTAATATTTGGTTGAAGTATTCACTCGTGGTTGCAATAGCTTTCTCATTATCATATTGGGTTTCAGTAGCTCATTACCATATTTGGTTGAAGTAGTTACTCATTATAATATTTAGCTTACTCATTACCATATTTGGCTGCAGTAGCTTACTCATTACCATATTTGGTTGAAGTAGCTTATTCATTACCATATTTAGCTTACTCATTACCATATTTGGTTGAAGTAGCTTACTCATTATAATATTTAGCTTACTCATTACCATATTTGGCTGCAGTAGCTTACTCATT